TTTATAATTTTAATAAAATATAAACATTAATATATTAAAATATATAAATGAAATTATACAATGAACAGAAAACTATTATATTATGTTTTATTGAGAAATAAAAAATTATAAACCTTTATTCGTTTTATTTTCATTTTTGAATAACAGATGGCGTATAAAGTCCTTCAATTCTAAAATTCTTGATATAAGGATGAACCGCAATCCTTTTCCACAGCATTTACCGTTCAAATTGACTATCAATAGTCACGTGGTATTCTTATTCATCATTATTCTCTAGTTTAAGAAAATTTCTTGTAGTTTTTAAAATTCTTTGAATATATTTTTCATTAATCAAAAATGCCTGTGTATGCATACGGATGTTAAACCGGTAATAAAAATATAAACTGTTTTATAGTTTGACAGTGGAGCGTTATTCTATGGGCAAACAGGACAATTGTTTGGGGCCCTCATCAATTTTTTATAAAAAAAAAATAATTTCTCCGAAAAATTCTCCCGAAGAAAAATGTCTGAAGTCAACACTATATATGAGGCCCCTAATTCAAATTTGCCTGGGTTCCACGTGCCTCTGTAGTTTTCCTGTTAAAAATAGAATATCAAAAGAGGAAGAATTCTACTGTATTATGTTAGTAAAATTGGAATTAATTTCAAATATTTAAATTATTTCTATATGCTAAAATAATTATTATTATGACAATTGTTCTGGAATAAAAACATAACAATGGAATATTTCTATTAAAAGCACAAAAAAGTAAGGTAAAATAATGGCTGCGATTAAGAGTTGTGATACTTTTATCTAACTTCTACAATCTTGTTAAGCATTGTTAAAGTTCTTAGATATATATCTTTCTGTGGCTTTTATACGTTGTTATTATGGGAATGATATCAAAGTTATTTGTTAAAGAAACGCCTCATAATGTGTATCTGATATAGACAAACGTATCAAACAACTTTACATAGGAGTCTTCTTTAACCGGAAATTTTATTGGAGAAAACAAGAGAAATCTATCAAAAACAAAAAAAAAATCGTATCTAAAATAGTACAGTAGAAGCCGTTCCTCGGGTTCAGCCTTAATCCTCTCCTTCTCCCCCGCGAGGAAATTTCGAAAAATCCCTTCTTAGTATGCATTTTCATGACGTACCCTAACTGTGTACCAAATTTCACCAGTTTAGGTTCAGCGGTTTACTCTAGGCCAGGGGTGTCCAACCCGCGGACCAATAAACGTGTAAACAAAACCGAAAAATTAAAAAAATTTATTTATTTATTTAATTCAAGGCATAAACTCAAAAAAAAAAGTTTTCACAAAGCCGTAAACCTTTATTCATAATTTATTTTTGAGTGGAAAGGAAATATTTTCAAATACTTGGTGACATGTGAGTGAGGAAGGTTTTCTAAATAAAACTGGAGTTGTGACTCAAAGGATTATAGACCCAAATTTGGGGAAAGGAGGGAAAGGAGAGAAAGGACAAAAGATAAAAAGTAGTGAGAAAGGTTAAATAGATCTTCTGTTATGCAAATATTAACCCTTAATTTTTCAACCTTTCTCGCTTCTTTATCTTTTGTCTTTTCTCTCCTTTCCCCGCATTTGGGTCTATTATCCTTTAAGTCACAACTCCAGCTTTATTTAGTATTCTTCCAGAATTGCAAGATTTGGCTACATATTATTTATAAATATATTAGTATCACCTTTTAATAATGGAGACCATCTGACCCATCTTCGATTTGCTGACGACGTAACCATCATTACAGATAGCCCTTCAGAGCTCCAGGACATGATTCATGAACTTGCAAACAAAAGTAAAGAAGTTGGTTTAAAGATGAATTTGAACAAGACGAAAATTATGTACAACAGTTTCGTATGTGAAGAAACACTACTAGTAGATAACATGGAATTGGAAAAGGTAGATGCTTGCATTTACCTGGGACAAAGAATATCAATGGATGGCAACATCGAGGAGGAAATAAGCAGACGTGTAAAGGTTGGCTGGAGTGCTTTTGATAGGAATAGTATAGTCTTGAAAAATCAACAGATGCCCCTGTGCCTAAAACGCAAGGTTTTTGATCAGTGTGTTTTGCCAGTTCTCACTTATGGATCAGAAACTTGGACTCTTAGAAAATCAGAAATCCAAAGACTACATACTACCCAAAGGAATATGGAAAGGTGCATGCTTGGCATAACAAGGAGAAATCAGAAACATATAACATGGATCAGGAAAATGTCAGGAGTTACCGATATCATCGCTAGAGTAAAATCCCTCAAGTGGCAGTGGGCTGGACATATTGCAAGAAGAACTGACCATCGCTGGACATCTGAAGTTCTTGATTGGATACCAAGAGATCGAAAACAACCAAGAAGACGTCCTAACACTCGGTGGGTTGATGAGATCAAGAGGCATCTTTGCACAACATGGAAGCGAAGTGCTCAAAACAAAAGATTGTGGAAGAGGCTTGAGGAGACCTACATTTTGCAGTAGATTGACAACGGTTGTTAATGATTATGATGATAATCTATTTCTACGTAAAAATTGAAAGTGTCTGTAGAAGTAATTTTTTAAAATATCCTTTTTCGTGATAAAGTTTTAATACTTATTATTATAATCTAGACATGTTAATCCTTAAATATACTTGTATATTGGGCCACAAGTATAGCCTATATTATATATACTTATGGCCCAAAACTCCTTCACTTCTTCCAATACGGCCCAGAGAAACAAAAAGGTTGGACACCCCTGCTCTAGGCGATGATGAATCAGTCAGTCAGGACATGTAATTTTATAAATTATATATAAGTATTTTTATTACAGAAAAACTTATAAAAATTAATATCTTTTTCTTCTAACTATCTGTTATATTTCGTTTTAATTTTACAGTTTTTCCGATATCACGATATATTTTTATCTGGCTTAAATTAATAAAATTTAAACAACGATTACGTTGCAGCAAGCAATTCATTATGCGATGGCATAGCTATGGATATTCCTATAGCCGTTAGCGCGACCTCCATTAATAAAAAGAGCCGTGTTTATAAACATAAATATTTCTAAATATATTTAGTATAAAAAAGTATTAAAAATTTGACCTAAAATTGAAATAATTTCATCTTTTATCACGTTAAAAATTATATTGTTTAAATATGATGATTAAAGTTTTCGCTAATGAACTTAAGCCGACAGTTTTCGTATTAAAATTTTCGGCATAACGCGGTTCCAAAAATGTTAATATTTACAATTTGTTTTTAAGATATTCTATTTAAATGCTACTTTTAAAAATCTAAAAAATTAATAAAAGATTATAAATGTACTGAAATAATGAAATTAAATTATTATTATTATTATTATTATTATTTAAACTGGCAACTCGAGATGACGCTCTATAACATTTCTGCGCATGACTTAACGTTTTAAAAATCATTGGTCCAATAGAATAACCAGACGATATTTATTCTAGAAGTTTCGAAGACGAAGGAAGAATCATTCAAAGTTTAGGTAAATTAATATTTTTAATAATTAAAAGGTTTTTTTTTAATTTTAGAATAAAATTAAATTGAATAAACACAAATTGAATCGATATATTTTTATTTATTCAATAAATTTTGTGTTAAAATTGTGAAAATTTGAATTTTTATAATTGAAGTTGTTAGGCCTAATTCATAATTCAGATTTTTATTATTTAATTAATGCATAATTTTATTTTTAATTAATTTGTTAATTACTTTTTTTTAAATCTATTAATAAAAAGTTTTAAAAATTTGAAATGAAATAATGAAAAATGTTCTTCAAAACATTATTATTAAAACTTGAGTCCAATAAGTTGATCTTTCACTTTATCATATTCATATACACTTTACCCGAAATATCAGTAAAATGTAAATTATATGGTTTCATCAATATGAATACAGTATATACCAGGGGTGGCCAACCTGCGGCTCGCGAGCCACATGCGGCTCTTTGAAGGATTATTTGTGGCTCTCGATAAATATACCCGAGTTCCCTTTTCAGTTTGTGTTATTATATTTTTAAAAATTATTATCGTTCCGTATGTGTTTCAAAATGTCTTTTAAATTATTAACAACAAATATGAAAGACTAAGTGCAACGTTGTAACAAATTTCATTTCGTTCCAAGTTAAGAATGATATGACTCATCAAAAACTGCGCGAACGAACATAAACAGTGGTGTAATCGTCCGTTATCGACCGACTCCAGACCGATTTTGAATTTGTAAACTGTCATTGCAATGGACAGTTGACATTGTGCTCTGGAGGAAACAATTTGTATCACTTTTGCTAAGGATATAATTTGTAATCTGGAATTTTTTGCATACCTTTTTAATATGTATTTAATTGCGGCTCGCGAAAAATTTCAAATTTTAAAAAATGGCTCGGACTATCAAGGAGTTTGGCCACCCTGGGTATATACAATATTTACCTTCGTATCATCAAACTTAAGAACTGTTTTTTTTTTCTCTTTTGAAAGTTCAAAGCCTTTAATTTTCAACATCGTTTAACAAAGCTTTATTTTTAAAGCCCATGGTTGAAGTGTTGAAACTGCAGGTAATGGTATATTCATTTAATTTCTTAAGTATAAATATCTCGAAATGCCAAATCTTCCATTTAATTTTCCTTATTTCTCTCCAGCAGATTATAGATTTGTGTTTCTGTAAAGGTTTAATATTGAAATAACAAAATTTATTTATTTATTTTTTTATTCAATTTTTCATGTTCTTTTTGGATGATGACAGTTTTATTTTCCAAAATTTCAGATTTTTTTGGATTGATTGCATTCTTATATCAATATGTTTAATCTTCATTTTTTAAAATAGAATTTTTATGTTTTAATTTAAAATTAAGATCTTATAAAGGTTTACAATCATTACATTTAAGAGATTCTTCTGTTTATTTACATCAGAAAGTTTTCCTATCAGTTTTTTTTTCTATTTCTTTTTAATAAACGATTTTTTCTTTTATTTAACTGATTAATATTTTCATTTTCTATATTTCCTAAATTTACTGATGGTAGTGAAGTTTTCTTTAGTTTAGGTTTTGCCAATAAATCTAATAATTCGGCTTTTAAATTTTTCTCAAAATTATTTTCTGTGAAATGATCACAGCAAACATGGCAAGAATCAGGATTGAATTTGTCTTTTCTTTTACAATTATGGATCCATTTTCTTCTTATTATTGGATCTTTAGGAAATATAACTTTCCTATTTAAAAACTTTGTTTTATAATAGCTGCTATTACAAGATGCAACAGCACATATTGTTCCTGGCATCTATAATAAAAATAATAAAATTTAATTATGGTTTTTTTTTTATTTTCCCAAATAAATTTAATCAAGATATAATATTCTAAAGTAGAAAAAAGTAGAATTAACAATTCTTACATAAAAATTATTATACAAATAATTAATACTACAGTAAATTTATAATATGTAAAGACATTTTTATATTTTTCATTAATATACATTTTACGTAAATATGCATATTTTTAAAAAGTTATATTAATTAATAATAATCAATATTTCTTTTTTTATATCTCGAGTTATTTTAAAAACGTTACCATCCTGTTATGGGCCAGCTTATTACTTGTAGTCGTCATTTCATCGTGCGGATACTATTTTTATACATGTAGAAAACTATTCTTAATATTTTAAAGTATTTTAGTAATAAATATATTTCATCTGTAATAATATTCTGTAATTTCTACAGAACGAAGTGCAAAGATTACAACAGAATATCAAACGGCTCTAGGAACATTATGTTACGTCCGTACAATTTTTATCGATATAATCATCAATATAATTGTATTTAATGATAGCAATAACGATAGATACGATTTACCTTCGAATTTTAACGATTTACCTTCGAATATTAAGAGTGTAAAAACTCTTAACAATGTAATAAAAATAGTGAAATTCCAAAATTTTCTTCCCTCGCTAACTGTTGTAAAACAGTCGCTTGACCTACGATGACGTATATCCGTAATCTGGCAGGAAGTGGCTAAAACAGTCGTATGGGTTAACTTTATATTCTAGAACCTTTCAGAAAAGGAACGTTGCCATTAATAAATAAATGCAATGCGTTCCTAGCTGCTTTTGGATCTGATCCCACAAATCTTACAGGATGAAGCTGGAATTGTTAAAGTGCATGACACATAGAAGCAACAATTGGCATCTGGTGAGAAAACTCAAGTTTTATAAAGATTTTTTTCGTACTGCAAAATAGCGCAGAAGTCGAATCGTGAGCGTTATTATCCATTCATAGCTTCGCCACAGAAGGCGCAGATCGTTCCGGTATGCCCGATAACGTGCCCGCCAAGATCGGAAGATAATGGTGGGCATTAGATTTCTTCCTGTGGGATTACGTGAAAGATATTATTCAGAGACCTTCAGGATATTCGGGAGCGCATCATCATAGCCATCGCCACTGTGAGACAAAACATACTGTGCATAGCACGTGCAAAACATAGCACGAAATTGCATAGCATGTGCAAAACATAGCACGAAATTGCCTGCAGTCTTGGGGTTATCTCTGACTGTGGAACACATATACAGATGTGATTTTTTTAAATAAAATTTGATTAGTTTTTCAGTTATATAAAATTTTTGCTGATCTTATATCTTTAACCGTTAATTTTTTCTAGCCAAATCAAATTGAGTACTTTCGAGCGGAACACCATGTATTATTATTGTTAGTTGTAATTTTTTAAGTATTTTAGTTTTTAATTTTTTCGTATTGTTTAATTGTCGAGAGTCATGGCAGTAACACTGCGCCAAGTGAAAAAGTCACTGACTCCGGTCGCGCTGCATAGCACCAAAATCGCCACTAGGGGATATTTTTATTAAAGTGGCGAAAAAAATATAATACTGGCGATTGCAAGTGGCGAAAAAACTCTGGTCCGCTTTTTTCAACGTGAAATTGAATCACAAATCACACTTCGGGAAAACAACATAATGTCGAGCTTCCTTATAATGGGAGACCCGTGCACCACACATCTAGGGTGCATATACTTTTTGAATCAAACTAATCTAAAATTACTCTGATCGTTCAAATCGCGTATACAAACAAACTATAGCGATCTCTATCCCCGTGTACTGTACAAACGCCATTTAGGATCAGCTAGATCGCCTTCAAACTAATCCGAGTGGCGGTTAGGATCGTTTGGATCGGACAAAAAAAATTAAATATGGTGACCATCACGGTTAAAGTTAAGGTTATAGTTGACGACAAAGAAATATGTTTAACTGTCGACGATGAAATGTATTGTACTTAAAACTTATAAATAGTAAGTAAAACATCATTATAAAATATCTGATAAACTGAGATGAAGAAATAGGTATTTAGAGACAATTTTGCTTGATTGTACGTCAAGAATGTATGACGGGCACTCCCATTTGCCGTTTTGTGAGCAATGTCATTCACGGAGTAAATACGATTCGATCCTACTTGTATACTTTCTGCCAACTAAAATACATGACAGAAGCGATCTATATGATGTGATAAAGACTGATTCGATCTTACAGATCAATCCATCTGAAACGAAAAGTATATGCTTCCCTTGCGATTTCATGACATTACGGGGCAAGCCCGGGCAGGAGAGTAGGAAGTGACGTTGAGAACCAAAGGCAGTTATGTGCAATGCCGCCCAGCGTTTTCAGATTGGGGAAAAATTTGGGGAATTTTTTTTGGATGATTTTTCACTTTGATCTTTTTTTAATAAAGCAAAAAAAAAATTTTGACATGACAGAATGTGTGAAATACTGTTGAAACATTATCATCAAATGTGTTATTCTAAAATAAATTTTCAAATTCTTGGAATCAAATAGTTGTTCAGAAGAATTTTTTACTGAATATACCGTAATGGATGTGGTTTATAGATTCCAGAGAAACCGTATAGTTTTTACTATAGCTTACAGTGACCATAAACGAAAACGTTTAGTTCCCTTTTGCGCAAGCGCGTGGACATGCGCAATGAATGGATTGAACGGAACATGTAAAGGGGAAAATAGGCCCAGGAATTCTGATGTCATCACGTGACCTCAGAATAAAAGCTTCAATAAATAGAGTTCTAATAAAGATAGAACGTAGAAAGTTTTTTATTCCAAAGCTAAAAGACTCGTCTAAGCAATAATATAAAAATATGCATTCGATAAATTTTACTCTCCCAGCTGTTATATATATATCAGAGAAAAAGTGTTGCGATCGGTCAAAAGATACTCCCCCAAATTTTCACATTTTTTTGACTCGGGGAACGTTGAAATATCAAAATATGCAAAAGATTCGGGATGTTTTTCTGTGTGTATGGATGTTAGACTGTGTATGTGTGGCACGATTCTGTTTACCCTGATTGAAGCCTAATAACATCTGTGGTATTTGAATCGGAGTGGAATGGTTTAACAACGGAGTTATTACGCTTAAAAATGGTTGAATCAAATCTTGTCCTCACACACATTCTAACATCCGTGCATACAAAAAACCCCAAATGTTTTTGCACTTCTCTACGTTTTAAGACTTTCCGAGTCCAAAAGAGTAAAAATCTGTGAGAAAGTCAATTTTTGACTTATCGTCATTCTTTACCTTTGTTAAAGGCGTATAGAGGAAAAGGTGATATTGTAGAACACTGTGGGTATTATGGAACCACTCCATTTCGAACTGATAATAAAGGCGAACTGTAGCGGATTGTGGCTGAACTGAACTAGGCAGACATCCATAGCAAGGAGAAAACCCGTTTCACTTCAGTTAAACGGTTGTCCGTAATGAATCAGCAAATTTGTGTTTTTTAAAATTCGAAAGTTTTGAATGCTAAGTGAATTTAATTATTTTTAAAATATAAATCGTGTAGTTGTAGGTTCACTGGTGCATATATTCTGTTCCAGAGACTTAGGGGTAAATATTAATCTGTGTGATGTTCACGTTTTTTTAAAATTTGGTCTTAACAGACATAATTTAATTCAAGATGGCGATTCCATTGGTGCTTTTAATATGGAACCCAACTCATCCGAACTCTCTATTTGCAAGCAGACATTCGCCCGGAGCAATTTGTGAAAAAGACTAGTTTAGAACAGATGCAGATTCTTCCTGAGAATATCGAAAAAGAGCTGCTGGAATATATATTGTTGATGAAGGTCATATTTTTCTATTATAAAAGCATTTTCTCGATAAAATACATTGGAGTAAATAATTTTGTAATTATCTAACATTCTTTGTACTTTCCTATTTGTTTTTGAATACATTTAAAGCATTTTTTGAAAACATACAGTAAGGTTCCATATTACCACCCGGTTTTCCCTAAGCCTACTTTTTAATTTTTTTCAAAAGCCTTCAAAAACCATACTTATAGTTACACAAGCGAAAAATCCAATTAGAAACATTTAGTTTAATACTTACCAGTACTTTTCGCACAAAAAATGTGGGTGTAGTTATGATCCTTGTTTACAATTCACTGAAATGAAAATGGGGTTCCATAATACCACCTTCTCTTCTACTGTTACAACAGCCGGGAAAGGAATAATGACGACGATTCTGATTACTTTTTTAAAACTACAAAATAAAACGATTTGTCGTTTAATTGTCGATACTGGAATCAAACGTAACTAATTACAGTTGTAATCTAAATTTTGAAATTTTGAAGTTTCTTAGCATTTGAGTTGTTAAATTAAATTCATAAATTTCGGTTTTAACTCCCGATATCAGTAATATCGAACGTTGCGCTGCCCTTCTATCGATTCTACAGAATTTCTGTGCATGCATTTTCTGAGGAAAACACTATTGGTCATCGACGTAACCGTTTTGAACGGGTAAAAATTAGCGTTGCAACGAATAGTATAAAAAGAACAGAGAAGAACCGCGAAGCAAAAATGTGAAAATAAATATGAAATTGAGTTGATAACATAATCGAACAAGTCGAAGCAGCTTATTGGCGCGAAATTTGCGGCCGTCAATGCCAAACAATTGTTGTCATAGACTTCGGAAAGCTAAATGCTTGTAATGAAAGTTACTTAGCGTGCACGGGCGAAAGCCTGGAACCGTTCGGGCTACCAAGCTGTCTCGAATCTATGAAATCATAACTGTGACATATACCGACGTCCTATCTGTCTCTTTTGTCCGTTATCACCAGGCTATGAGTCACGTAATTATAAAATGGAAAAACTACGACGGAAAAGTGACGAATCGAAATTATCGTAAGCGCGTATTATAATGTATGCATAGGCATACGTGGACTAGAGAGATGGAGGAAAGAGAAAGGAAAGAGCAAAGACGAGAGCTTAAAAAGGATAGGCAGGGTCAGACCCTCACATGTGTGCGTAAAATTATAAATTGTGAATACATGTGACTAATATTATTTTCTTTTTTATTTTGTGAATGTTATAAGTTATAAATAAATATAAACAAACAACACTAACCCGACAACATTAAATCTAAATACCAAAATGATTAATTTACTGTGTTTTTGTTATTTCTTACTCCTGTTTTTAGGTATTCGGTATTCGGCTGAATAGCGAAAAATAGGCCGAATACCGAATACTAACCGAATATTCGTTACGTCACTAGTAAAAATGCTTCATGGAATCGATACTTTGTAACATCTCATGAGGGAACATCTCATGCAAGAATTTTTAACAAGCGTCTTTACAGGACCCTCGAGAGAGTGGGATGATGGGCTAAAATTCCCCTGGCCCGGGATTCACAAGAACCCGGATTTCATTCCACAACTTTTTCAATTATTCCCGAGGCTCGTGTAAATTTTTCACCTGGGCCGGCTACATCTTTCGACGCCACTGCTAAATTTAGTAAATTTATTAAACATATTGTAGAAATATATTTTCTATTAACGTATACAGTTTTTGATGTGTTCCAGGTTTCATTTTGTATTATATGAAGAATATTACTTAAATTATTGGTAGTTTCATATTAAAACTTTAATTTCTAGGTATTAATTTTACTTCTTTACCTTATTAATTTATCAATTACAATATTTTTCTTCTTAGCAAATATGGATAATCGTCCGTATATATTCTTCGTTATTTTGTTCATGAATTTCAATTGGAGTTTAAGTGAAAGCCTAATTACTCTATCAACAGATACGACGTCTTTCACTTTTTATGAAATGAGAAAGTTTATAACACTTTTAAATGATGTTAGAAGTAACGTTGTTCCTAAGGCTGCTAACATGAATTTTGTGGTAAAGAAACATGTTGCTTTAAATCTTTTTCTGTCATTTTAATTTAAAAAATTTGAATATTTTTATATTTTTAAAAATGTATGTGAGAAATGTTAAATACCTTTTGATAATATATTAAAATATGTATCATAAAATTTATCTTTTAGCAATGGGATGAGATATTAGCAAATAAAGCTGGAAAAGATGTTGCTTCCTGTCATTCGCAACCTTCAGACCACAAGATTGTTTACAGAGGAAATCATTCAGGTCTGGATTCCGTCATAGAAGCTTGGAGTAATGAATTCATTACATATAATATTCAAGGCAATAGATGTGTCGAACGAAACTTATGCGATGCTTATCTAAAGGTAAAATACATTATAAAATTTTTGACATTAAATTTTAATTTTATGTTTAAGTTTTATTCCAAAACTGCTTAACGCAAAATCACTCTAAAAAGTTAGCCGAAAATAGAAAATACAGTTAAACGAACTGATATCTAATGGTCACTAATTATAGTGATGTGCGAATAGTAAATACCCGTGGCTTCTCCATGCGTTATTTGCAAGGTCCAACTTAAACATACTCATTTTTAAAAGTGTTCGTTATTTTAATGAATCAACGCTTCAAAGGAAAAATAATAAATAAATGTCGATCACAATTTACCGTTTTATATGTAGAGACGTCCCGATACCACAAAAGTATCGATATCAGCCAGTATTGGCATGGGGTATGGAAAAGGGATTTTACTCGTTATTAGTATTTACAATGTTTCTTTTTAACTCAAAGCTTAATTATTATAAAATGGCAGAAAGCTTAATTTTGAGCTTTTTATAATAATCAATAATATTGAGCCTTTTAAATAAAAATCTCATAACAAATGGCACCACACAAGTTTTATTAACTCTTGCAGGGAAAATTACGCAACACATCTTGGATTTTTTCCTTTTGTATTGAGTTTTGTTCTTATACCACGTTAAACACACCCTTATTTAATGAGTATTTAACTGAATATTCATGTAAACAAATTACTCTAAATTATTTTGTATTGTTCTCAGAGACTTAATTAGTCAAGAATAATGAACTTTGTTTCCAACTTTTTAAAAATCTAATATTTTAATTATTATAAAGGCTTTGGAACTTTATTTACACACTCCAAAGTATTCTAGATTAAATGCACAACGCCGGCTACAATTGAACGAATTTGAATCACAGGACATTCTATTTCACAGTTTCATGTAATTCAAATTTGCAGGTGTTATTATTAGAAATATCCAAATTAATTAATAACTAGCAGAAGTACTGGTGAAAGGCTCTTCCAGGGACGATATGTCCCTGTCAAAGATAAAATCCATCATGCTAGTTACAACATCTGCTTAAAATACCATTTTTATGCCAGAAATTTTACCATTTACAACATAACCAGCTGTGTTGGTCATAAAAGACTGGCTGCATCACAAAGACAAGTGGAACTCTCTAAACCTCATCACAAATTCAGTATACGGTGCAATGATCAGAAGCCGAAAAAACTGGCTGCTAAGGAAACTTCCTTTGCCAAAATAAAATTACGAAGAAACTTCACTTGTCTCAGAAAAAGACTAGAAATGATCTTCAGACACACAAAAAAGAAACGAAAGACAGCATGTAGAAACCTGCTGTACGAAAAGTACCTTACTAGAGACAGACCACGGTTTTTGTAACTATGAATGAAGCTTACTTTTACGTTGATACTTTTACGGACAACGATGAATCTGGTATCCACAACGTTAAAATGGTAAAATGGTTCCACATAGTTAAACAGTTGACTAGAATAAATGTTTTGGAGAGACGCTTATGGTTGTTGGCATTTTGACTGGAAAATGCCAAATAACCGTGTGCGTATCTGCAAATGTAAAGGTAAACTCGGTAAAAATAAACAAATATTGCTTATTTTTAACCGATATTCATTCTTAACCGGAAAAATCATTTATAATCATACGCAGATAGAAAACTGAAGAATGTATGATCATTGTTTGTGGATCTTATAATAGATAAACTCAAAAAGTTTTTTCAGGGGTTCTTCACTTCGCAGTTAGTTCAATTTAACATGGATACCTTTGTTACCGTAATACATCTATGTGATAAGCATGTATTTATCCTGGCGCCATACATTTTGCTGAGTATCCTTATTGAAATTTGTCAAAGACTTCTGTGGTTCTTCTCTTCAGTTCCGTTATCGTTCTTGGCAATGGTAGAACGTAAACATTGTCTTAAATGAAACCCCAAGAAAAACATCCTTGGGGTTAGATCTGGTGAGTGAGGAGGCCAGGTTATCAATTCCTCTTGCCCGATCCATCTGTCTGGAAATGTTTCAACGACAAATGCTGTTATATTTCGGTAATAATGAGGACGTGCTCCAACCTGTCAAAGTTGACCTGTCATCTAGCAGCTAAGGCATTAATTAATTAACTTTAAATACGTCTCGTTAATACTCAACGCAAGATTGAGGATTCTCTCTTACCCAAACACGAATGTTATATCTGTTTACTTTTCTGTACAGATGACATGTCTCTTTGCTGTAATACGCCGTTTCCAGGTATACTTCATTCTTTTCAATGTTACTCGACGCTGAAATCAAACATTTTCTTACTGTCGTTGGGCTAAATTGCATGCAATAACTGAGATGATACGACTTCGAGGCTGCTCTTTTCCGCAGAACTTTCCAGATTATCGGCTGCGATAAACCTAACTCCGGACTTGCACATCTCTTCGACTTACAAGAAATTCAGGGAAACGATTGACGAATTCTTTCGATATTCTCTTCAATCGCTCTGCCTTCTCGTAGATTTTCTTTTGCAAAAGATGCCAGTTTTATAGAAACTTTTATACGACCTTCATCGACGGTGCTGAAGGTGGTTCTTACTTGAGTTGTTCTCGGAAATGTTGTCAAACGGACTTAATTTCGGATTAAAGAGACATATATTCATAGTGTATTGTCAAACGGTTGTTTTCGACTTTGGCACGTGGCAACCGATCTAAATGTCCTAACACACAGAACGCTTTCTCCTATTCATTCGCCATTTTTCTGGATAATGTGGACATCTGACGTTTGCTAATAAAAGAAAATGAGTTTCTCCATTTTGTGATCCACAAACTGTGATGCTATGTTTAGTTTTTAAGCAATACGTCATCTTAATTGGAAAGATAATTGTTAGCATCCTATATAATTGACTTCTTGTTGAAACTTTTTCTTGGGGAACATGTATCGCGACTATACAGTACTGACACTAACTTGTAAGTGCATTTGCACCATCATAGTCATCTTCTCACACCTCCAAAATGACACGTCATTACACACGGGATCTACATTGTAGATTAGGAATCGCGTTTGTTCCCGTCAAAGAGGCTCCTCAGAATAACATAATATAAGCTTTATGAGCTTCTTTGGATTTCGTTTTCTTAANTCCAAAATTTCCTAAGAACATACAAAAAATTTCCCTGAAAATTATTGCAGGCAAAATAAAACTACAATTTACGAACCAGTTAATAAGTTGTCGGGTCTTTTGTAGAATATACAAAGAACAATTCCAATTTAAAAAAAAAAATTAACGTTTAATAGGTTCGTTATGGTGGGCAAAAACTACAATATTCCCGCTATTTTCTTCTTGATACTTACGCCCTCTCGTGTTCAAAAACATACATCGCGTTTGTTCCCGTCAAAGAGGCTCCTCAGAATAACATAATATAAGCTTTATGAGCTTCTTTGGATTTCGTTTTCTTAAAAACGCCTATATAAGCTATAGGCCAAGACACGATGGTATTCGAAAATACTTGCTATTCTAATGTAACTATGACGGATTGTGAGAAGACGTTTGATGATTGGAAAAGGTGGCTTTGATGCCAGGTGAGCGTATACAGGCTACATGGCGATTACTTGGAGTCAGTGCGAAAAATCAACAGGCGAAAGTGAATTTTGGTTACACTGCAAAGTGTGTAAAAGAAGTTGCTTAACTCTCTGAAAAAGTTCCAAATTGTATTTTACTAATAAATTTTTAATAATAGATAATTCAAGCTGAAGTAAATAAGATTGGATGCGGAATAAATAAATGTTGGAATGACAATGAATATTTGATCTTGTGTTATATGGATCTAGTGTAAGTAAATTTTAAACAGTGTTGTTTTAGTTTTTTATTAATTATTCATATCGTTATTATAAATGAATTTTATAATTTATAGATTATCCAATACAACAAGAACAAAACCTTATTTAGTAGGTAAACCATGTTCTGCTTGTAAAACCCATCTTTGCACACACAATCTCTGCGGTAAAAATAAACAGTTTTTAATTTTCTAAAATATAATTAATTATTAGTGATATAAAGTAAGAAAATTTAATTTTCTGTAGTTTGTTGTTGTTATTTATTAAAATTAAGTTATTTAAGTATTTATATCGAAAAAAATATATGAAGTGAGTCAAACGGAAACTTTAAATTTAATTCTTAATAGTGTTTTGAAACAAAGGTAACATGCTACTGTGTCGTTTTCTTATGTAGTCTCCATTCCATTTGATACAAGTCCTCCAGCATTTACAAACTGCATATACAGTAGACTCCCCCTATAACACGGGTTCTTATAGTTCGGATTCCTATATGACGGCGAAAAAATTGCGACGGTATTCGTACAAACATGCTAAAAAAACTCCTATAATTCGGTAAAACGTCATCGCCGACTCGTGTCTTGACAAGATTGCACAATCTGTTGAGTTTAAACGAGCAGCGAACCTACTATTATTTAACGTTTATAAAAATTATATTTATATTAATGATGTCTCTAAAGTTCAGCGAACTTTTCGCTAAAAAAAACAATTTATCAGGAAGCGCGCGAGCGTTATTTGATGGCAATCTCCACGACGAAAACAAGCTTAAGCAGCGGCGTTGTCGAACGGTGATTCTACAATTGTTTGTTTATAGCATAGTTTATATGAATTATTCTCAAAAGATTATACGTGTTTTCGAAATGTTGAGTCGAATTAGTCTAGAATCGATTAATTTTACGGAAAAAACCTTTTAAATAGCCGTAGTCATAAACTGCATACGTGCCGGGCTGTGATTGGCTAAACTTTTAGAAGCTGGATTCATATAAACAGGAACGTATCTACCGTGTTATAGGGAGGTCGACTGTACCAGTATGTTTAACAACGATCGATTATTTTTTGCGTAAGATAATTGACTGTGTAACAAAACTTTAATGACACCGCTGCTGCTAGACCGTCCACTAGGGGGCCTCCCGAACTACTATTACTGTTTATACCTTTTCTTTTACAACAAGTAACAATTATGCACGAACCTCACATGTACATGAATATTTAAAAATAGCTAAACACCAACCAAATGCTGAAATTTTATCGGGCTAATTTAGGGCTAATTACTAGATGAATTACTTAACCAATTTGGCCTTCGAGGAAAGCGTTAGGCGCCATCTCGTATTAGCATTAATAATTATAAATAAATTAATTAATCTAATTGTTCTTATATTTGAAAATATTTTTCAAATATAATGAATATAAAAATTCCGATAATTAATTAAAAATCATAGTTTAATAAAATCGAAAAAAATAATTTATTATATAAGGGATCCCATACATAGGATCGAACCCACAACCTTCGGGCCTGGAACCCGAAGGTGACTGCCGCGCTCCTACGAGCCACCAACCAGTCGAACATCTTCTGATATTATAAGGGTTATATAAGATCTTACGTTAATTTTTTAAAAAAAATTTATGAAATACTACACAGAATATACAGTGAAGTATATTTTGTCGGTTTTTTAAAAAATGCTTATTACAAAATTTGACAACAATTTTTTTTCTGTTTGTATATCTGAAATCTGTAACGGAATGCCTAGAACGCCAATAGGAGCGTTCCATTCTAAGTTTATGTAAATTTATAATAGACCTTTTAAAAAAGTTTCATGTCTGTTTTTACATGATAGAAAGAGTTTTTAAAAAATAATAATGGATGAAACGAAAATAAGCCAATAAATATGCATCGAACACCAAAAAAATTAGTTAATTTCACTTTATCCCTTTCATTGTCACGTGTAAATGACATGGAAAAATGCAATAATACACTTTTCCATTGTTTTAGTTTATTTGTTGTAAGTAAGCGATTTTTGAATGCGAAAGAGAAACTTTTGCGATTTTCCTGCTTTATTCTTTGAAAATAATTGCTTCGGATATGAATGTGAGTAATATTTTGATAGACTACGAAATATAGTGTACAAATATTTTCATAAATATAGAATTACCGATCGAGTAACTTATCATATGATAACCAAATAATTCTTTAATTAATTTAAGTAAAAGCACAGAATTAAAATAGAAAATACATTTCAAGATAAATTTTAATATTTTAAACAGATTTGGAATATTTAGAATTATTTTAAAATATTGACATTTATTAATTTGCCTTATTATTTATATTATTTATTATTATGGCAACTTTGTTCAATATAAAATCTTATGTAGCTGTAGTCTGTGTAATGGGCACTTTACTTTCGTGTTGAGCCTTACTGTAAATCGGAAATAACTATTCTTATGCCACAACTTTCAGTAGTTTTTTTTACTTGAATGTTTTTGCTTAGCTATAATTTTCAACTTCGTTTCAGCAATAAATACAGTCGACCCCTTTATAACACGAATTCCTATAGTTCGAATTTCTATACCACGGCGAAAAAATTGCGACAGTATTCGTACAAACATGCAAAAAAACTCCTATAATTCGGTAAAACGTCATCGCCGACTCGTGTCGCGACAGGATTGCACAAACCGTTGAGTTTAAATGAGCAACGGACCTACTAAAAACCATTTATTATTTAACGTCCGTAAAAATTATATTTAAATTAATGATGTCTCTAAAGTTCAGCGAATTTTTCGCAAAAAAAATAATTTATAAGGAAGCACGCGAGCGCCATTCGATGACAATCTCCACGACGAAAACAAGCTTAAGCAACGGCGTAGTCGAACGGTGCACATTCGGTAAATAATCCTACAATTTTTTGTTTATAGCATAGTTTATATGGATTATTCCCAAAAATTATACGTATTTTGGAAATGTTGAGTCGAATTAGTCTAGAATCGATTAATTTTATGGAAGACCTTTCAAACAGCCGTAGTCCGTAAACTGCATATGTGCCGGGCTGTGATTGACTGGGCTCGTAAAAGCTGGATTCATAAAACTCGGAACGTATCTACCTTGTTTTAGGGGAGTCAACTGTATTCCTCTTCAGAAAAATCATCTTGTATGCACAACCACTCATGAATTACCTGTTTCAGCTCTTCGTCCGCCTGAAAACCTTTTCAGCTATTACCATTTTCAGTTTTTATCAAGTCCTCGACTGTTTCAACCGTTGCACGGTGGTATGTGGCCGAACATTGTTACATTGCTAAAAGATGCTTTTCAGAATTGGTTTTAATTGCATGTCGAAAACGGTTTATGAGAATATCTGAGTACTTGGCACTGGTGATCAGAGTGGTAGTTTTTATATAATGTAATATTCCAAAATGACGTCTTGTTCGTTCCTCAACCTATTTTGCAAATCATTGCGTTCGAAACTTCGATTTTGATCAGGAGGAATAGCACTATTCCTTGCTCGCTCTCTTCGTTTCGTGTTAGTGATAGTAAATTCCATGTTTCATTTCCAGTAACATTTCTGGCTAGGAAACTGTCTCCTTCTGCAACAATGTGTCAAAATATTATTTACATCCATTGGTGTTCCAATTCCGGAATCCATCAACTGCCTTTGCACCTACCTTGCATCAGTCATGATATGATCCAGTTTACAACATGATATGATATGATACAGTTTACAATCAGTCATGATATGATCCAGTTTACAACAGTTTACAACGGGAACAGGAACATATCATTACTGAATTCAAGAAGTGCAGTTGTAATATTAATCATCACTCGATGAATTCAACTTTTGCAATCGATTATGATGTCACTCACCATTCGGTGTTCCCGACCGGGTCAAGAAACATCTGTCAATTAACTAATGTCATTTCCGACTTTCTACTTCACTTAAACATTTTCTGGAGTAACAGAATAAACCATTCTACTGAATATTCATTTGTAAATAAACTAAGATAGGTTTCATTCATTCACTCTTCAAAAAATAGGATGACAGACGCTGCTTATCAGCTCTAGTTGGGGTGAGCATCTTTATACTGTTAATATGACGTCGGTACGATGTTCAGAATTTTTATCACACTTTTAAAAGTTTTCATTTGACTCATTCTCACATAATTCAAATGTACATAAAAGTGTTTTTTTTTTGGCCATAAAATGTCAAATACAGTACAAAGAACATTGCTATTGCTATGTTATCTGTGATGATTATAATTTATATTTAAGGAAATAGATTCGATTAAATTTGAATAATTGACTATAAAATATTTAGCTAGCTTTTAAAATTTACAAACTATTACAGCCAGGCAGGAGTGGTGCAAAATATTTTCAGAATCCAAAATTTCCTAAGAACATACAAAAAATTTCCCTGAAAATTATTGCAGGCAAAATAAAACTACAATTTACGAACCAGTTAATAAGTTGTCGGGTCTTTTGTAGAATATACAAAGAACAATTCCAATTTAAAAAAAAAAATTAATGTTTAATAGGTTCGTTATGGTGGGCAAAAACTACAATATTCCCGCTATTTTCTTCTTGATACTTACGCCCTCCCGTGTTCAAAAACATACGACTTAACAAAAATTAATAAATTTGTAATTTCCATAAATTACAAAATTATTGAATAATTATTAGCACACTGTTTGAAAATTCAAAATAAAACATACAATTAAATAGGTCTATCGCTTTAATTTTATATCATTATCATAGGATAGCATATACAATTATAAATTTGATGTAATACATTCATTAATAGAAATAAACTTGATTTCGATTCCATGAATTGCCTATTTTTAGTATCAGGTGCTAATTAACGGACTTTTTGATATTTAACAACGCAAAATTTATTTAAGAAAGTTTTTTTTATCTTATTGTTCATCTTATTATGAAATTTTTTGTAAAAAGTTCTATATACATATTTACTGATTTTCGGTTGAACTTAGCAATTATATAAAGCTTGGTTGTTGTTAAAAAATACTGCAAAACAAATTGTAAGTTTTTTAATTAAATTATGTACAGTAGAAAAAGGAGTTTTGCAGTGTTTTTTTTTAATTTATAGTGATAGGAGAAGTCGCATTTGATGAGAAACATTTTGCTGAGGTTCTGTTATAAAATTCGTCATATTGAAAGATGATATTGCCCACTCTTTCGTGACAAAATACCATTATAATTTCCATTAACAGAGTTAAATGGTTAAATGGCATAGTAGAAATAGCCGTATATAATAAACGAATGATTTGTGGATTTATGGATCGTCTTGTGTGAATAATAGTTTTTTTTCTTTTTATTATTTTTTCTCTTTAGTTTCCGTTATTACAAAATTTAAAACACAAAATTTTAATTTTAATCTTAATTTTTTTATTATTAATTAAATTATTTTGTAAAATTCAAATGACATTTTCTTGTGAGATGGCCAGGCCACCACTTTAAAGGCATGCAATTATCTTTCGATATGTGGATCTATTTTATAACATGTTTTAACATCTCCTCCCCGAATCTCGTTCGCGAGAACGGATGAATTCTGACCGCTGAAGCCAGATACGTCTAAAAATTTAGGTCTATATATGATAACAATTGATAAAAATATTTAAAAACTAAAGTTATTATTGTACGTAAATAAATAATTAAAATATATTTTTTAATGTAGAATTTTTCTTTAATTTTTTTGTCTAGTGAATAAAGATTTGTGTATGAAATACAACTTGAGTTGCAGTAAGTTTTAATAAAATTTATACAAATTTAGGAATTTTTAAGAATATTTCTAAACTTTTAAACATGTTTTTCTTACAGAGTGCAACTTATATTGTCATAATTGTGGAGTACTGGATACTTCGAATTGCAAATGTCAATGTAAAAATGGATGGGATTCGTTTGACTGTTCTAGTAAGTTTATACAATAAGAATTTATTATTATAAAAATATAAATCGTTAATATTAAAGATATTTGTGTAATATGAGTGAATTAATGTTAAAATTTAATTTAATATCTATTTGTAAATGTTAAACAGTATTAATAAGCAATGTAAATATTAATTTACGTTCTAATAAACTTTTTATATAAGCTCACAAATTACACAATATTTTGAAAAATTAAGTTAATATTGCGATGATAATTTATACTTTTATTACAACAGTTAATAGATATTTTATATTAGACCTTATAATAAGATTAAATTTTGTTTTCTCTACTATTTCCATCCCATAGTTTATTAATATTTTTAACAATCTAATGACTATAAGAATTTTTAAATTATAAATCATAATATAATCGAGTATTTATGTATTTTAGAAGTTTGTCAAGATGAAAATAGGAATTGTACATATGAATCTTGCGAAATTTTTGACTCGGAAGAAAAACATCCTTGCAGAAAAACCTGTGGTTTCTGTAGTAAGTACTATATATATTATTGCACTGTAAATGATCAACACTAAATTTAATATTAAATAAATATTTTTATAATTAGAACTATAAATCAATTTTACTTGAAACACTCGAAATTATTTCTTATCTTAAACGTTTGATAATCTAGAAAAATGTGTCAGAAAAACACGCGCCATGAAAAAAGATTGCATATATTTAATTGTAAGATTTCACAAAAAAATGTCTTGAAATATTGAGATATCGACTTTTGACTAAGAGTCGTCTCATTGCTAATCAGAAATTACACCAGTATAATAATCCTCTATTTATAAACAAGGTCCAAGTACAGTAGACAACATAAAAACAAAAAGTTAAATCGATTTATATCTATTTTGTAGAAGCTTTAGTTAAGCTTTACTACTTAATAGCGAAGAATTATAGCAAACTAATAAGTCGGTAATAGTTAAAACTAACGGAATTTAAATTTAACACTTATTTAAACTTATAAACTAATTCAGATGACAAAATAGCACGAAGTTCTAAATATCAAGAAATAAGTGATAAATGAAAGTGTTGATCAGTTTCGTGTGTTTATTAATGGGCTTCTTCAGATACAATTTAATAGCATTAAAAGAATATAAATCATGTTTTATATTCCTGTTATTTTCTGTTTTAAACTTTTATTTTTCTCCATAAATGTAATTTTAAATATTTCCCATATCCTGTCGAGTTTCTCGTGTAATGAAATATTTCCTCACTTGTCTAATCGAAATTTTCAGTATAAATTCGAGGTATTTTCGTTTCTTGTAAAATATATAATTCGTTAAGATGCTGTTTTTGTCTAAATAAAACTTTTAAAAACTAATAAATAATGTATAAAGGAAAGTTGCGCTCACCAGTGGCCAAGCGGTCTTCGCGCCTCGCTCGGACGGGCTGGCCATGTGAATTTTCGGGTTTTCTCCACGTCTGTAACGCCTAAAACGTTTCCCTTAAAAAAGACTTCCCGGAAGACATCCCCCTAGGCAGATCGCCCAAGTGTTGCGTTGCCATAACTTAACAAAACAAACATAAAGAAAAGTATTTAATACATTATTAAATACAGCAATTAAAAAAATATTTTTTGCTAAGCGAATAATTGAATGGATATTCAAAAACCATCAACAAAATCAGTGATTCAAGTTTAAGTTATTATTATTTTATTTTTATTTTTTTGGACCGCGTAGATCTTTAGATATGGACGTAAAAAGAGCATATGTTATGCATATTATCCTCACAACATGACATTATTTTTGTACACGCCATCCTTCTATAGAAAAGACTCTTTCCATCTCGTCACTAGTAGAAATAATAGAAAGTAAATAATTAAATGCGAGTTGTACATGAAATCCCCGGAACCCGCAGTTTCAAATAGGGTCATTTCTCGTTTTTTGATAGCATCCTTATGTGTGACTGTGCTGAGTTTCTTTTTTAGACTTTTATTAGAGAGATCGCGGCCCAAGTACAAACGTTAAGCAGAAGTACACGGTTTACGTGTTAACTCCAAGAAAAAAATCGTTGCAGCGCACGTTTACAACATCACTTTACTCGGTGAACGTCGCGCATTGACTCACGAGAAATTTGTTGAAAAAGTGGCGGATATATTTAACACCAAGGGTTACCAGCGAAGGTAAATAAACAAACTATTTTAAAGTGTTCATAGGATGTTTCATAACACTAAATAATTATTTTTAATTAGCGTGATGTCTCCTACCGTACGATCGGGCGATAGGACTTCGTCATACTTTTGTCGAGGGAAATAGTGGGCTTATGTAAATTCAAAAGCAGCTCGGAAAATTAATTTTTAGAAAATTTACAAACGTATTACGCTGTTGATGGTAGAAGATGCCGAGGAAGAACAAACCTACCTTAAGATAAGCTATTACGGAAGGCAAATATATGTAAATTCTATATGTACTGTACTTCAATTCACTTGCTAAAAATTGAATAAATAATTTCTTGATTAATATCGTCTGTTTCTTTACAATATTATTCGTAAATGCTTAAATAATCATTATTTTAATAAAATACGTCATAATTTTAACCCCAAACACACACAAAAAAAATAAAGTTTAAACCGATCTTCAACTCGCCATGCTAGACGTAGCGAATGCCATTATCGACCGTCTAGAATTGCCAGATGGCGACGCTCGACCATCCGCCGTTCACGTTTTTGGCTGAATACGACGACCGCAACCTCTCTATTTCTTGTATTTCTACGTGGAATTTCAAGAGAGAGAACCCGTTGCTCAGATTCTACTTTCATCACTTTTGGTAAGAGCATCAGGTGCGAAATCTTTACTCGTGTGACTGACTTGAATGGTATTCTTCATCTCGGTTTCCATTGTCGATTCATTTGTTTTGCTCAGGTGTTGTAATAATACAGTAGGTGTTATGGCTGTGCTTGTCTTATTTTTCTCTGAAATTGAGACGTTCTGTAGCTGCTCCAACAAATTGTCTTTCTCAAATTTCCGGTTATGCAAATACAATAAAATCTAGATTTAACAGACTAATTCGGGCAAGGAGCCCGCCGTTAATGCCGGAAGTCCATTACACGATAAAGTAGGTTAAAAAGTGATAAATTAGTTTATCTGTTTTAACACTTTGTGTATAATATGTTATATAATTGTTTTTATAAAAAAGTTGAAAAATATATTTTCAAAATGAGCAAAATACCGAAAAACCAATATTAATGTTCGGGAAAACAGTTATTATACTAGCACTATCAGTAAGTCAATAATTCCAGTATTACCGACAGATTGGTGTTTTGATTTTGGAGATTAGATTGAAAATCGGTTATGTGAATAATGTAATCCTTATATGCATTCATACGACGCACAATATTTTGAGAAATTAAATTGATTGTAATTTATATATTAGAATTCAGGTAGATAAATTATTATTTTAAGTTAAAATAATCGGAATAAGTAATAGTAGTTCAGTTTAAAATTTCTATGTATAATAAACTGAGTAAAATTTTAAATACTATTCACATACAACTTTTTCTAAGGAAACTTCGAGGAGCATTCAAATAATTCCAGTTGCGATGAAAGAAGGGAAGAATTTGTAATTAAACAAAAACATGAAGAACCACAATTCACGAAGAATAATAATGAAACACCAACAGCTGTTAATCCTGGTTCATTTATAAATGGACAGTTCCAGAACGAATCGGCATTGAGAGTCGACTTTGCAGCAACTACAAAAACACCAAAAAATACAGAAACACCTATTGAATTTGAATATGCAGAACCTGAAAACGCAACTTCTAATGCCATGACCAGCACTAGAATGACAGGTAACAAGACCGGTGATTCCATGACTACGGAATTGGTTTTTGAAGACTATGAGTTTCCAGATTCTGGTGCAGGAAAAGGTGTGCTAGAAATGATGTATTAAAGTATATGATAGATTTTTTGCAATTACTTTTTATTAATGAAAGTAATTTTATTTTAGGTTACATTATTTGGCCTACTTTGATATTTTTTGTGGTGGTAGCATCAGCAGCCTTTGCAACGTCGACAAAGCTATAAAATCAATTCTTTTTTCTTCTTTTAGTTTTTAGTTATCTAAACTTAAAATTTTTTCTTTGGGAGTTAAAATATTTTTCGTCATTTAGCATGCTGTTTAAAGTGTGTTTTAATATTTATTGGAAGATTAAAATATTTTATGCGTATGATATTAATTTAAGTTTTTTTTCTTTTTATAACTTATCAAAGTAATTATATAATCAACTTTCAAATTTATCAAATAAGGAATTTGCAATATTTAATATTAATTATTGTTAATTGTATTTTGTTAAAAGAAAAATTAAAATTTATGAAAGATTAATGAAAATTTGTTTTTATTAAAATTTGAAAAATGTTGCATCATTAAAATTAATAAATTAAACATTCTTAAAATTAATTTTAATAAATTTAACATTATCAAGTGAGCTTACAAAATGTCATTTTATCAGTTGTAGACAAGCTTACAACTGGAACATTTCAGCTTTCAGTTTATTTAGGAACTAGCTGTTACTCGTGGCTTTGCCCGCGCGGATTTTGCAAGCAAACCCCATTTATATTCAGCATTTCGACAACCATAGTAATTGTTATATAACACCTACCACTGAGAATGATGAGAATTGCTGAGAATCAAACGAACTACAGTATGTTATGTTGAGTAATGGGCCGAAATAGGCACCGGCGCATCTTCTTGTCAGACTATCTGTCACTGTTTTCTGCTTTTACCACGAAAGTACAATGCACTAAGTCTAGATACTGAATGTGTTCAGATACTTTTTTGGGTTGCAAAATGAGAAAATTATAAATGTGTAAACTTCTACTGTCATCCGTCTGTGTTTCCTATATTTCGAGAACGAAGTTAGATAGATGAAAGACGAGAGGAGAAGTAAAACCTTAGTGGCAGTAGGCTTCGATTAACTATATGAGAACGACCTATACAGATCGGAAGTCATGTTATTTTAATTTAAATATTTCCCCCTGAAGGGAATTAGATAGCCTATATGTCCAGAAGAAGTCTGTTGTTATAGGAAAAGTATGATGTACAGGAGAAATGCATCAATAGCGGTTAGTTTCCCAGAAAGTACTTGAATAAAGGCCAATTCCCATTAAAGTCGTTCCGGGGTGCACTCCCTTCTAGACAGATAGCTTATATATTGCGTTGCTTTATCCCAACAATCCTGCTCACCTCGGTCACCAGTGGCCGAGAGAATAAAATTATTGAACACTCGTAGTTTGTCGTGGGTTCACACCTTGCCAAATAGTCGGTTACGTGGAATTTTCTGGGTTTTCTTCACATTTGTAACACCTAAATAATAGCCAGTTTCCCATATAAAACCTCTCGGAAGACATTCCCCTCGGCAGATAGTTCATGTGTCGCGTTGCCGTATATAAATAAAACTTAACATTCTACAATCGTTTATTATCTTGGGTATAAGAGAAGAGATATTTTTTTAAATTCAAAAATTCGTAATATTATAAAGTAAAGTAAATCTGAATTATGCTCGTTATTGCTAATAATAACCCACAAATGATCAACTTATGAAGAAACAAATCTTGCAAGAAATCTTCACAGAACAGAAGAGTTGTCAGGTAATCAACCCATCTATGCATTCCAGAAGGCTCAGCACTTCAAGCATATTGGGGCTAGAGATGCTGACATCCACACTTTATCTTTATGGCCTTGTTTTCCATTCCTATTTGTCTTGGGACGTTTTTAATCATACACATTTGGTTTACACATACACACATACGTCCAGGCCTACAATGAAGCCGACAGAAAAAATTTTACAGTATGTGAAATAAGAGGAGTGGATCCAGAGATTGGCGCTGATTCCGTGGTTTATTACTAACAGCTTTATTATTTCCTTAAAACAATCAAGTATACAGTGCATATAATTTTGTTTTAGAAGTGCAGCTAGTAGACACACTATATACACTATGTAGAAAATAGCAAAAACTGTCACAACTAGCCCTGCCCTCCCCTGCATATATAGGCTATATACTGTACTTTATTTATTCCCCAATACCACCGAGTATAATCAGGTTAAGAACAGTGTTACACAAATTAACAAATACAGACACAAATAATTACTAATAAGAAATATGACAATTTTAGTGAAATTGGTGTGAACAGATGAAAAGATGACAGATATAGAAACCAACTAACATGATAATTAGCATAAGAGTAGAATTAAATATTAATTATTAAGACCTACAACATGTACGAAGAAAGTTAAAAAAAATAATTCAACTTAAACTATAGATGAAGAAAGAAAATGATATATACAGTACATAGATAACAGACAGCAGATAACGAGAAGTGATACAGACAAACAATGGCAGTAAGCAAATAATGATACTGCAATGATGACATAGACATTAGTGTGTGGATGAACGCATGTGATATTTACGACTGAAGTTTTTGAATACCTTGTGATTGTCGCGATCATTAAGAAGAAGATGAAGATAACATGGGAAGTTGATACCCCTTTGGCCAAGAGTAAGGGCCTAATATCCTCGGATCATTGGACAGTTATATATGTAGTGCTGAACTCCGTCATGGTAATTACAGATGAATATTGAAAGCGTTCGAAACAGCGAAAAAAAATTGCATTAAGTAAAAACTTATTATAATTTAGATCACAGTCAAAATTTTTCATAGAACTTTTTCTTTGGTAAAGATAAACTTGGCGCTTCAAAGCCCATACCAATAAGATTTTTAGTCAGAAGTTTTACAGTCTATGGAAAGAATCGACTTGAGAATAACGTCACGCGTGATTTTGCTTCAGTTAGACTAATTAGTACATGATGTCAGCACTTTTCTCTTAATTTGTCAGGCAATGTGTGAATTTTATTTTATCCCTCTACATGGCAGAACGACTTTTCCATTAATTGTGTTAATTTTTTAAAGCCTGCATTAACTGTAAAGAATTATGCATTTAACAACTACTATAGCGAACTTCCTCGTAAACGAATATAAGAACGTAAAGCTTCTGTGACCGTAGGGTCGGTATCTCTTTGACACCACGTCAGGATGTGACAACACCGAGTATCGCTGGACTCGGAAATCGCGACGTTACGTCACGCGAATGGTAGCGGGTGAGCGGTTGAATTCGGATTAGAGGTGGGGAGAGAGACGAGGAAGTGACTCACTCGGAGTCCATAGTAACAAATAAATAACAATTTTAATAAGTACAGGTAACCCCTGTATAACACGGCACTTCTATAGCACGGATTCACTCTAACACGGTTCGAGAACTGGTACCATCCCCCGTATAACACGGATCCACTCTGACACGGTTCGAGAAATGGAAAAAACCCTCGTACAACATGAAATGTAATAAACTTTTACATACTTAAGTACTAATAGTTCACGAAAATTATTATTTTCGTGAACTATTAGTACTTCAATGTGTAAATTTTCTTTTCTCTTCTCCATGCACATGGTCCTTCGCGAAAATTGTTTCAATTTTGCCATATCTCAACGCTTCTGCTTCTGGTGTTGCCAGATGTTTTTCCCTTATTCCATAAGTGTTTAGCACCATATAAAGAAATTTATAAAGATCTTTTAACTAGAAGCAAGCAATCTAAAATTACATACACTTTTTGCAAAAGGTAAAGCATGAATCTGAAAATAATGCAGAAAAATGCTCAGANATATACTTTATTTATTCCCCAATACCACCGAGCATAATCAGGTTAAGAACAGTGTTACACAAATTACCAAGCATACAGACACAAATAATTACAGAGAGAATATAGAATAAAAAATATAACAATTTTAATGAAATTGGTGTGAACAGATGAAAAGATGACAGATATAAAAACCAACTAACATGATAATTAGCATAAGAGTAGAATTAAATATTAATTATTAAGACCTACAACATGTACGAAGAAAGTTAAAAAAAATAATACAACTTAAACTATAGATGAAGAAAGAAAATGATATATACAGTACACAGATAACAGACAGCAGATAACGAGAAGTGATAAAGACAAACAATGGCAGTGAGCAAATGATGATATTGCAATGATGACATAGACATTAGTGTGCGGGTGAACGCATGTGATATTTATGACTGACGTTTTTGAATACCTTGTGGTTGTCACGATCATTAAGAAGAAGATGAAGATCACATGGCCAGTTGATATCCCTTTGGCCAAGAGTAAGAGCAAGCTCATGCCTAATATCCTCGGATCATTGGACACTTGTATATTTAGTGCTCAACTCATGACAATTACAGATAAATATTGAAAGCGTTCGAAACAGCGAAAAAAATTGCATTAAGTAAAAACTTATTATAATTTAGACCACAGTCAAAATTTTTCATAAAACTTTTTCTTTGGTAAAGATAAACTTGGCGCTTCAAAGCCCATACCCATAACATTTTTACAGTCAGAAGTTTTAGTCTGTCTATGGAAAGAATCGACTTGAGAATAACGTCACGCGTGATTTTGCTTCAGTTAGACTAATTAGCACATGATGTCAGCACTTTTCTTTTAATTTGTCAGGCAATGTGTGAATTTTATTTTATTTTCTCCCAATACAATGCAGAACGACTTTTCCATTAATTGTGTTAATTTTTTAAAGCCTGCATTAACTGTAAAGAATCATGCATTTAACAACTACTATAGTTAACTTCCTCGTAAACGAATATAAGAACGTAAAGCTTCCATAACACTGTTTATAATGGCGGTGACATATTTAACAAATGAGGAAGAAACCTGAAGTAACATGCCACAACTAAGCAATCAATGGCTGATCCTCATTGGTACTAATACCCAAGTTGATTCTTTTCATAGACAGATTATACTTATTTTTAACTTAAAATTATAAAATTCAATATACGAATCAACTTTTAATAACTTATAATAAATTAATTTTTAATTAATTAAGTACTAAACTATTTACATCATAAATTATCATAATGTAATCACAATAATAGTTTATAAATTGAATTTCTTACAGCTCAACGATCTATGCTGATGTCTTCGCAAGAGTCGTCAGAAAATAAAATCGTTGTGACTAAATAAAAAAATATTTTATGGGTTTGTATATTAACATGTTTATTTTAAATTTAATTATTCTTATTACTAATTTAATTCATTTGTAGGATCGTTAACTACAGTAAAGATTAAATGCATCTTGATGTATTTCATCATCCATATTTTTCGCTGTTGGCACCTGGCAATTCATCATCAGAAATACGTCTATCAATTTGTTGGGCTGCAATTTGAAAAAAAA